TCGTATATATATGTTTTTTTTTTTTTTTTTATAACGTAGGAATCCGCAGCCGCTACCCGAAAGTATACACTGGATAAACCTCCGGTCGAACCTAATACCCTGCATATCAGATCCGATGGAAAAGTTATACTAGGCGAACCATGTGTGGCACATGACCTGAGGCGTCGGGGATTTTATGTATATATATGTTGTATGTATTTTCAATTGATTTTATTGTATATCTTATAATATAATACATCAATTACACTATCCTCCCGTTATAAGATAATATCACAAAAAAAAATATAAAATAATAATAATAATCATCTAATTACAATTGGTGTGTTTGATTGGGGAATTGGATTTTAAACCCGCTATTCATCCCATTTTTTACCTAAAAAAAATTAAATCAAATACCTATTTTTTTTATATTATACTAAAAATTAATTTTATATTTAAAACATTATATCAACACCTATTTATATCACATCATACAACTATTCAAATTCAAAATTTTTACTATTCAAATCCCAACGCAAAATCCAAACCCCGAAGAAACATACAAACAAGCAATTTTTTATGCTCACCTCCCATTAAATTTTGTTCACGATGGACACCAATTGTGAAGAGAATTTATATGTACAATGCACCTCATCAAAATGATTTGTTCAACCAAATATTGGCTATATATATATATATATATATAAGAAAAAAAATCAATTTTGGTCTCGATATAATCAAAATTTATTAATTTTGGTTCCAATATATATATATATAAAAGACAAACTCATTAATTTTAATCTCATTATAAACAATTTCAATTAATTTTGGTCCCACCAGTAAAAAACTAAACCAACGGAAATTGCTGACGTGAATGTAACGAATGACAGCTGACCTGTAAAGTACACGGCCATGTACAATTATACACGACCATATTGTCACGCTGCCATGTATATCTCGGTGTACAATTATACACGGTCATGTTTAATTCTATACGGCCGTGTACTTTTCGGTTTTAGTCTAAAATTTTATTTTATTTTTTATATTTTCTTTTAAAAAATATTTTAAATTTAAAACAGTTGATATAGTTAAAATGGAAAAAATTAATAGTAATCATAATATAATTAAAATGTATCAATTTTAATTCAAATATAAAAATTTACAAAAATATGTTCTTTTGAAATATTTTGTTTAAAATTCTATTGTTCATAAAAAATTCTCTTATAAACATCAAATTACACAACTACTTTCTATTTTTTTATATTATATTAAATTTTATTTTATATTTCAATATAATTTCAAACAATTTCAACGTAGACATATATAATTGTATCGAAATATAAAATTAACTTTTAATACTATAATATCAAAAATAAAAAAATAACAGTGTAATTGATTTTTTTTAAGAAATTTTTTTGATAAATAGTACTCCCTCCGTCCCTGTCCAAATGAGCTCTTTGGGGTTTTGTAATATATTAAGGAATAATAGTATTTTATTAATAAGTGGAAGTGTGTATGAGGTTTTAACAGTTTTGCCCTTTGACTTTATATAAAAAGTAATTGTATGTGTTATGGTATATTTGTAATTTAAATAAAAGTTAAGGGTGTTTTGGTATTGAAATATGATTACTTTTACTAAAATAAGAAATAGATATTTTGGAGTAGGACGGACAAAAATTGTTAAAATGATACTTTAAGTTGAGACGGAGGGAGTAGATTTTCAAACAAAATATTCCAAAAGAACATATTCGGTTTTATATTTGAACTAAAATTGATATATTTTAATAATGTTAGAATTATTATTGATTTTTTTCATTTTAATTATACTAATTATTCTAAATTCATTTTTTTTTAAATATAACCATAATAAAATAAAATTTTAGACCAAATCAGAAAGGTACATAGCCGTGATTATACATGGTCGTGTAATATATAATTGTACACTGAAATATACATGACCGTATAACAATATGATCGTGTATAATTTTACATGGTCGTGTACTTTTCAGGTCAGCTGCCACGTCAACTCTGTTACATCCACGTCAGCCATTTCTGTTAGATTTTAACAATTGGACCAAAATTGATTGAAATTATTTATAATAAGACTAAAATTGATGAGTTTTTTTTATGTTGGTACCAAAATTGATAAAATTTGGTTATATTGAGACCAAAATTGATTTTTTTCCTATATTAAATTATTACTTTTTATTTATATTTAGGCACTTTGATTACGTAAACTACCATATAATATTTGAATTAGGCATGAATTAGCACTTGTTACAAGGGCGATCAGGATATTCATACATATTTCAGCATATTTATAATACATCATATATTATATTATAACTCAACATATTATTTTATAACACAGTATAAGCTAAAATATATATAAATATATATTGGTCATCCATGTAACATATATTGACCCTATCAAATCAATACGATGCTTATTTGGTCGGATCAGTACAGTACCTACGGCCATGTGAAATTCAAATTGAAACCCTAAAATAATTGAAAAAACACAAGTTATAGGACAAAAAATACAATCGTGTAAATTATACGACAAAGGTAATAATTTATATATACAGTGTATATGTAGAGAGAGAGAGGAAATTTTCCCACCAAATCACATAAACACAAGTTTAAAAGGCTGTCCCAGTTTGCAGTTCAGCAGTGGGGACTACTTTCACCATCAAATTGCCATCTCAAGATTTTCTTTTTAACAGTTAGATAAATAAATTAAACCATCGATAAAATTTAATTTGGATTCTCACTGTTGTCATGTAAAAAAAAAAAAAAAAAAAAAAAAAAAAAAAAAAACCCTTTTAGAACAGCACAATTGTACTAACAAAATTGATTAGATTATTATTACAATGAGGCAAAACCCCAGACTGGATTCAGATTATGGTTTGGACAAAACGAAAAAACACAGACAAAGAGTACATTTCATTTATTTTTTTTTACAAAATCGACGATTTGAACCATCTGATCAATACCAAACTAGTAATACATACTATTCGGTGAGAGCTCGATCGATCCCCCTCTTAGTCGAGGGGGTCCATTATAGTATAATGTGCATACTACAGGTGAAGGGATGTAATGGTGTGTGCATTTTAGGACCATTATTCGACGAAACAAATACGATGAAGACAGAGTGAATTAATTAAGAAAATTGGAGGGTGATGAACTGGTAAAGGAATGACAGGATGGGTGTGGGGAGAGGAGTCACTGTCTTTGCCTCACCAGAGGCAATAAATGCCCTTTTGGCAATACTAAGGTAATCATCACAAAATGTTCATCAACCCATCCCATATATATATTTGCTCAATCTTCATAACATAATTCATTGATCTTATTGTATGTTTGCACACATATACTAAGCATCTTTTTTTGTTAATGTGTTTAATAATGTGCTTAGTTAGTTGTGGAATTAGATGATTGATTTATTGATTATGAGAAAATTTTATGTCGATCGATTTGTGGATGGAGCAAATCAAGATTTTGTTTGGTTATCGGTTGAGATTGTGGTTGTGGTTGTGGTTGTGGTTGTGGTTGGAAGTTCGAATTTTGTTAGTGAATGCTTGGTTAATTGTTGAGTTTGGGTATACTATGTATTTCATTCAAAATAAATTGAAAATATATAGTGAAGGACTTTAAAATTTATATATTATCTTATATAATTCAATATGAATCGCGTTTTGTAAATGATGAAATATTTACATTTATCTTTTACTATGAGTTTACAAAATATATACCGTATTAAAACATTAGTTTGCGGTTATTTTTATGTATAAAGATTTCATTCATTTATATTTTAATTTGAGGTAATTGTATTGATTTAACAAATGTAAATTTTAAACTATAATATAATATGTAGTAAAATTACATTCAATAAAAATGAAATGTATGATTTGTATTTAAATGGCGAAAATGGCAAAATATATATCTTTTAGTAAACGGAAAGAGTATATATATATATACATATATAATCATTAGCATAAATTAATTTTATAATTTTAAAAAATATATATATAGATATATATAGAAAGCTTCAAAATGTATATAAATGATTTGTTTATTTAAGAAAAATAGAAATAAATTATTATAAGTTGGAGTGGAAATCACAATCCAACCAATAACTAAACACAATTTTAGAAAAGGGATTAGGGTTAGGGTTTTGTGAGCTGTATTAGTGAAATTAAAACTTGAGGTTCATTACTCATCCTAGTCGATCGGAGCAAATACATGTTTTAAATCAACATCTCATATAAATATATGTATGTATGTACGTATGTATGTATTGAGTGTAATGTGTATCTATAATAAAAGTACATGAATAAATCGATAATTTGAATATCAAGTAAGTTATTATTAATAGTATTAAAATGTACACTTATCATATATCCACAAAGACAATATATTCAATAGCCAAAAATAGCATTCATGCAAACAAGATTGCGGATCCATCCGGCCAAGTTAATATAGTGTTGATTTGATCGGATCAACAGCTAATAAATGGCCTACAAACAATAATTCAATCGCTTAAGTGTATGCTAACACTACTCAATAACAACTTATTTTTTATATATTATTTCGAAACCGAGACCTTACACCCATGTTTGGGATGCCAACCACTAGACCTACAAGATCTTGGCAGTAACAACTTATTTCTTGCCTAGTTAATTTTTCATATATAGGAATCCAACATGCATATAGAATATTGTCGGATCGATCCAAGTTGCTTGAAATATGATTGCCAATGGAAATGACAATGCGGCTAAGCTAGCAAGCAAGCAAGAGATTGTACTAGAAAGAAAGAGGGATGAAATGAAATGAAAGTTTGTTTAGAGTTAGAGATAGGGTTGTGTGAAATGGTCGTGTGGTAGCATTCAGCTCATCCTTCCCTTTTGGTTTGTCTTGTTTGGACATGCTTGTCTGGTTGTCATCAAGTCACGTGAATGCCTGACCTCCTTCGATCCTGTATCCCATTCCCCTTCACCCCTTTATAACCAACTTCCTGCTGCACCACTTCACAAATCCATTCTTGATTAACCCCTTTTCGACACACATCCATTTTTCATCCATCTCTCTCTTCGATCGCCTTAATCGACCAAGTTTTCTTTTCTTTTTTTCTTATGTATCTTGATCGAGCAAATTGAAGATATCTCCACATCGGGCTCCTCGAATTCTTCTCCAATGAATCTAAACTCTTTGCCACACGATTTTCTTGGCAATGATCAAGGTCATCATCAACATCTTTGCGATCCTTCGCAATCTTGTGTCCAATTTCGTATGTTCTTCAATTCAGCTCACGATCACTTGGGAAGCTACGAACATCGCGAGTCCCTCCTCCATCCCAACTACATATCGGTATATATATGAGTTTAGTGTTTCTTAATTATTTTATTTTCTATAAATTAGTACTTAACCTAGACAAAGATTCATCGATCATTTCTTTCTTTCTTAATTATCCTAGGATGAACACCATGGCTACAATCAAAGCGGATCAAGTGCCCGCGAAATCAAGAGTGACGCCGAGAGTGGCCTCAAACTAACTCTTTGGAAAAGCGAGGATTGCGTAGACAATGATCAAGGCATCCCGGACCGAAGAACAGAAGAAAACCCCAAGTGGATGTCTTCGAAGATGAGAGTGATGCAGAAGATGAAGAACACTCAGAACCACAGCCCTTCGAAGATTATTACCACCGGAGAAAGCATCGAGGATCACAAATTTCAGTCGTCGACGGATCATTCGAGCAGCAACAATTCATCTTCTTACAACCACAGCCCAATTAGGGTTTGTTCAGACTGCAACACAACCAAGACCCCTCTCTGGAGAAGTGGTCCTAATGGCCCTAAGGTTTGTCTTTCTCCATACTTTTATCTTCTTTTACTATTTACATTTGAGCCTTTTCGAAAACTTATTTATCATAAATATATAAAATACTATCTGTAAATTTTATTGTATAATTCAACTTGAACTCCGTGCCCCTATGCTATTTGGATTTTATGCACAAATATACAAAATTTTGAACTACATAATTTAAATGGAAAAGGATATTTAATACATTTAAATTAAAATACAAATTGAATATGTAACTTGTCCTAATTTCAAAAACCTTGGCTAGATCACACAAATCTTTAATTAGCTAACTTAATGTAAAATATTAGTGGCTCTATATTTATCATTTTTAAAATTTTTCTAGCTCTTTTTAACTATACTTAAAATATTTTTTTATATAAAATATTATATCCGACAACTATTTCACCTAAAAACAAAAACTATAGAAACCAAAACATCTAAGACAAAAAAGAACACATTAAGATCGATTTCAAAAAATATTAACAATCTTTCTTCATCTACAGTCTCTGTGCAATGCCTGTGGGATTAGGCAAAGGAAGGCCCGGCGAGCATTGGCGGCAGCAGCTGCAGCCGCCGCCGATCAACCACCAGCAATGAAGATCAAAGTGCAGCACAAGGAAAACATAGGGAAAATTAAAGGGCAAGTGAAGAAGCGTCGAAAGAATTCATCATCGGCTACCACCGGTAATCATCAAGAGCGATCAGCGGCGAACAGCGTGCAAAAGAAGCTCCGGTTCGAGGATTTCTTGATAAATCTGAGCAAGAAACTGTCGTTCCACCGGAAGTTTCCGGAAGACGAGAAGGATGCAGCAATCCTACTCATGGCTATATCTTCTGGCCTGGTTCATGGCTGATCAGTTCTTATCATTTTAGCTTTGGTTTAATCTCATTTTGTTTATGGGATAGTTAATTAATTGCAGGTTTTTGTGTGACAAGCTTCTTTGCTTTATTTATTTTTTTCTCCAATCTTTTTTATTGCATCGCCATGTATGTGAGCGATCAAGTGAGTGACTATTGTTGTTTGGTAATAATTAAGGATATGAAAGGATAGTTTTTGATGGATTTGATGAACTTGATTAATTTGAAGCTCATTTATTTAATATTTGAAATCAATTTATATCTTACATCCTTTAAAACTTCTACAAATGACCACAATAATTGAATTAAGTTTAGAAAAATATTCATGTGTACATGCACCTCTATATTTGTCACGGCCCGTTGATATTTTTAAGTGTGTTGATGAATATCTTGTTTGAATATTTGGTTACAATTTTTATATAGAAGCTAGATTTTTATGAACAATTGAAACTATTTAATATCCAAGATAGTTCTTATATAATATATATATATATAAAGAAAAAATGGCGTCGACTTTACTAAATATAAATACTTCTGCAAAAAATAATTGTAAAATATCAACAAGTCGGATCTATTTACAAAACGTTACATTCAATATGTATTTAAAACGGATTGCAAACCACAATAGCTAGCTTGGATGAACAGGTGTAGTCTAAAATCGAACTGATCGCTCACGCTAAGTATCCAATTCTAGCGGAGAAAAAAGACATTTTCAATCGCATACAATTCTTTAAGGAATCATTTTAGTATCATCATTTTTTGCAACATAATAGCTTAGAGAGTTTAATTTTAATTTCAAGTTATTGAAATCAAGTTCATGATTAATTTGCTAAATTTTAGTATTGATTGTTAATTTTTTATAATTAACAATATAGATGAAAATTAATTTAAGTTATGAAACTTTGCTAAATCATTTCATTAAAAAAAATATATATTGAGCAAATTTACTGTTACCAATTTTTTCATATTTTTCATAGTATGGTATATATATATATATATATATATATATAGAGAGAGAGAGAGAGAGAGAGAGAGAGAGAGAGAGAGAGAGAGAGAGATTATGGGGCCAGCGGTCCCTAGTGAATGTGGTTAAGAATGATTGCGAACACACAAATAAATCACTGTATTTTTTTTACTTTATTCTGTAGAGAGTTTCTACTATCTTCTTTTAATTTTTTCTAAATTTTTTTGTTTATGTATGGAAAAGGTTACAGACTTGGATAATATGTTTTGTTTTTTCCCTTGTTTCATTTGCATTTACTTTCACTTCAATTTAACAATTATGAAAATAAATAAAATATGCAATACTACAACACAATCCTTTATAAAAACCAAAATACAATTATGAAAACTTCCAATATAAGAATCATAATTGAATATATTTTCTATATAAAATTTTTACATTTCATAAAAATATCTATAGTCAAATTATGTGTTTAAATTTGGTGTTAGAAGCGTTGTCACAAGTCCAACAGGCAACAGGTAATCGACAACATATTTTAAGGCCCACATTTAAGTACATGTAATGATGATAACTAGTTTAATTTACATATTAATTAAAACGAAAATTAATGATATTATAAAATATGATTACATAAAAATGAAAAAAATAAAATAAAATACCTTTAAATTGTAAGGATTTAAACTTTTTTTTATGCATTGCAAACAATTTTAATTTCTTATTTTTGGGAGTATATGAGTTCTAGTTAACGCGAATTTGAATCGACTTTTCGAGTTATCGAAGTCTTTCATATATTGGAGTGTGTATTTTATAATATAATTATGAATACAATTATAGAGTTTGTTTGGTCAGCATATCACATAAAAACATATTGTATATACTTTTTTTTTAATACAACATTTACTGTGTTATAAGATATCATACGTTGAATTATAACACAGTATATATTATATTATAAATATGTTATGATAGTATGTAATATATATTGATTATTTTTATTTGATATGTCGATGAATTTTATGGGTAAACATTTTATTTTGTCATTAATATTAATTATATCATTGATTTCACTTATGAATTTAATTTAATTATTACAAATAAAAAAAAAAATATATGATTATATAAATTATTTCCATTTACTGTGGGAATCATTTTACCCACACATAAATAAAACAATTATTACCTCAAAATCAAAAAATCGAAGAAAAAGTAATACAATTATGCAACCTTGATCGAATTGAAGAAGAATATAACACATTTCAAAATATTGACAAGAAATATTATAATAAGAGAACTTCGAACTCCAGTAAAAAAAAATTCGAAAGAAAATTTTTTAAATATTTTTGTACCACATCATATATCGATTATATGAACAGCATATTATGAAGCATAAAATAGCAGTTTTATATCAGACATTCAACATATTGTTAATTTTTCATTTTATTAAGAATGATTTTTAGATATTACTATTTTCAAAATTCATAATATATTATGATATTTATATATATTTTTGTTTCTCATCCTTAAAAATCTCTCAATTATCGGATTCAGACAAAAAGATCCGCAATATTTTTTAAAACTACGTATATATTTATTTTCACAAAATTTGCCTAGTAAATTAAAGTTACAAAAGTCATATAAAAAATTACTTTGATAGTTTAATATATAATTTAGTCAACTTTAATTATATGAATTAATATAAATTGATTTATATTCATATTTTAGGAAATGATAATTTAATTAATTGTTGTGAATTTATTTTCGAATTTTTTGGATTTATCGAATAAATTTCTTATACAAAATATACAATCAATTAATAGCTGAAGTAAAATTCGAATAAAATCAAATTAAACTAAATCGAAATGAATTAAAATAACACAAATATTACTCAAAGGCATAAACTGGAAATCAAAATAGAAAACAAACAAACAGCGCCTTTAGTGAATTTAGAATCAAAATAGGACTCTTCCCTGTTCGTCTCCAAATTCCAGCAACAATCCAAACTTTATCCACTACAAAATCGACCGACGACGACGAACAATGACTGGGCGGCGGTTCTCCTCCGATTCCTCCGACGAACAGACAGAGAAGGCGACGATCGGCATCAGCTCCGACCAGCGACTCCTTCAGATTCACACCGACGAACAGCGGGACAGCGGCGGTGAACTCCGGCAGTCATCTTCTCCGATCTTTATTGATTTCACCGGCGAGAGGGAAGGTTGGATTTCGGCTATAGTAACTACGTCTCAAGGTGGAAGTCTGCATCTTTACACCAAGCCTCGACACCCACTGGAATCGGCGAAAACTGATTATTTTTACCGGAATCACAAGCCGGAGGTTGCCCAAGAAACCTCCCCCTCTTCTCTCACCACCGATGCACACCAAAACCCATCTTTATCATCTAACTAAACTACCCCAAAACTAATAACCAACTAATGGATTCTGACAAACTTATTATCTATCGAAGGACTCATTGGGCTTAGGATTGAAGGAGTAATGGATTCTGACCAACTTATTATCTATCGAAGGACTCATTGGATTAGCTGGCCAAAAATCCCAACATAATCATAATATCATAATTTTGATTCATAGTTTAGGCAATGATAATCTACTCAATTTATTCCCATAAATTTTGAGTATTAATTGGACAATCTAATTTAGTCAAATAGTTTTTATGTTTTCAAAATATTAAACACAACAAATAGAATAATTTCATTGTTCTAAAATATTTTATACAAATAAAATCAATAAATTGTTCTGCATTCTAGCAAATAGATTGCTTTGAGTTATTACATTGACATTTGGGCCAAATACCAAACTTTTTTCTATTTCCAGGGCTAATTATTTCATAACTACTGCTGACGAAGTAAGGCTGTGTGAGCATCTTTTCTGATCTTAGCTTGATCAATTTTTGCAAAATGGTGAGAACTCAATTTGACAAAAATGTCAAAGGAATAAAAAATGATAACAGTGGTGAATTCACATCATCAAGGATGATGAACTTTTATGCAAACGAAGGACTCGTATTGAAAACAATTTGCCCTCCACTCCACAACAAAATGGAATGGTCGAACAAAAACACTGACACTTGCTTGAGATGGTGTGGGCATTGATCTTCAAAGCAGGTATACCTACTAAATATTGAGGAGAGTGCATCTTAGCTGCAACATACATTATCAAGAGACTTTCTTCCAAAAAAATCAAGCACAAGATGTCATACGAGATAATATTTAACCAGAGCCTGAGTATGATCACATGATGGCTTTTTATTGTTTGGTCTATATGAGGAACACATGGACAAAAAGAGACAAGCTCGAAGTAAGGGGAAGATCGGGAATATTCCTAGGCTACCCACATGGCAAAAAATGAAATCGGATAGATGATTTGAAAGGCAAGAAATTTATTATTTCAAAGGATATTAGATTCACAGTGCACATATATCCATTGACAGTGGCAAACAAACTTGAGAGTAGCTGTCAAATGAATTATTTCAAGTTCCTTGGCAAACCGTATCAAGAGGTTGATATGACTGTTCAAGGAAGAAAATAGAAAAAAATGATAATGAGCTAAATGTCATTGTGGATAATGAATCCACCTACATTCCAGAACAAGCAGGTGCGGAGCACCATCACTACAAGAAAAAATCATTCTTGTAACAAAATTTTTTTTGTCTCTAAATCTATTTTTTTCGTTACTAATGACATTAGAGACGGAATTAGGAACGGAATTACGTTAGCTACGTGAACTTTAGGGACGGAATTCCGTTACAAATATATTATTTTTTTGTAATGTGAAAGTCATGCTTCATCGAAGTACTCAAAATCCAATCCAGCAGACGTTCACCGATATATCAACCATCGCGGAAGATACTATCATGAATGACTCACAAAAAATAGGAGTTATTAGAGAAAAAAGAAATAATCCTTAAACAAAACACTTTAATGATTTTTTTAGTATAATTGCCTCCATTGTAGACCAGGCATCACTTACGTCCTATCAAAGGTTCTCGACGGTATATCCTCTAGCTCATTTCATATGAAAAATTTTCAGATTCAGCAGCCCTAAGTTCAAATGATGAGCTAACAAATTTCTATAAAGCTATGCATGCAGGATCTCAAATTCAGAGAAGCCATGCAAAGGGAAATCCAAACTCTTGAAGAAAATGGTATCTGGACACTTATAGAGTTGCCAAATGGGAAACATGTCTTAGGTTCGAATTGGGTTTATAAAATATAATATTAACCCAATTGAGAAATTGAACGATATAAGGTTTGGCTCATCACGGGAGGCTTTAATCAATTGAAAGACGTTGATTTTCACGACACATTTACACCGGTGGCAAAACTTGTTACGTATGAAGCTTGTTAGCCATGGAAACTAAAAAACAATTGATAGTACATCAACTGGACATAAATAATGCCATCTTACATTGAGGTGGACGAGGAGGTGTACAGGAAGATTACTTAAGTTTTTTTGAAGTAAGGTGACACGAGGGTGTGTAGACTACGAAAATTTCTCTATGAGCTACGACAAGCTTCATGCAATTGGTACCGAAAACTCACAATGGCATTATTGGATCTTGGCTTCAGAAAATCAAAGGCATATCATTCTCTCTTTGTTTACAAAGAAAATGCCGTCAATCTGTCGACCCTTATCTATGTTGATAATGTGATAATAGTTGAAAATGATGCATAATAATACAAGGAACAAAGATCCATCTTGATGAGAAGTTCAGCATCAGAGACTTAGGATCATTAAAATACATCTTGGGCATTGAAGTTGCTTGCACACACCACGGTATAAACTTAATGTAACGGAGTATAGCTTAGATATCTTGAAAGATAATGGATTATATGATTGCCGACCAAGTTCCATCCCCAAGGAGCAAAATTTGAAGCTAGACAAAGGTGATGAAAATCGGTACATTGACGCAAATCAATATCTTCATCTTATCGGAAGACTCATCTACTTACAAGTAACTAGGCCAGACCCCCCCCCCCCCCTCCCCCCCCCCAATGCTTCGAGCAACGTTGCCGTGTTCTCTCCTTATTTTGACTCGACCTCCCTCTCCCCGAATTATCTGATGTTTCATTCCACCCCGCTATCACCGGTAAATCGAGCAGTGTCACCATGTCCCCTCCTCATTTCGACTAGACTTCCCTCGATTCAAACTGGATCCGAATTGCCCGACACTTCCAAGACCGGTCCTGACTTTTGAAGGGCCCGGAGCAAAACAAAAACAGAGGCTTCTAAATATGCATAAATAATATTTTTTATTTATAATAAAATTTTAAATAATTAAATAAAATATTTTTCTAATATTACTAAATGCAAAAATAGTATTAAAAAAATTCAAAATTTTGTAACCCTATGAATTAGATACTATAACCTCGCCATTACAAAATAACTTCACACCACCAAATTATATTCCTTTTAGTTTTAAGTAAATAAATAAGTTCTATATATAATAACTATACATATATAACATAAATATTTGACGGGTCCCTCATTTATATTGAGTCCTGGGCGGACGCCTCTTTCGCCTGAGTCTAGGGCCGACTCTGGACACTTCATCCTACTATGCCATCGCTAGTAAACCTAGAAGTGCATCATGTTTCCTTTCTATTTGTGCTAATCTACTATTATTACAATTAGAAAATGTACATATCAAATATGTTTGGAAGAAAGGCAGAGCATATGGATTGAAAAAGCCTACGATGGCCAAGATCAAAAAGGATAGGGAATAACCTATGCCAAAAAAGGAGCGTGCAACAAGAAAAACAATGTATTTCGTGGATAGTCTTCACCTATAAATTTTCGTTCTTGTTTAAATTTTTGGGAAAAAGAAAAAGTTTCAAACAAGTTTTTGAAAAATACGATGCATTTGTTGTTTTGGTACTCAAGAACGTATGATGTGTGCTTGAATTGGATTTACACTATTCATCCAATTTTTTTTCCCCAAAAATTATCAAATCAAACACCTATTTTTCATTTTTTTATATTATACTAAAAATCAATTTTACATTCAAAACATCACATCAACACCTATTTATATCACATCATACAACTATTCAAATTTAAAATTTTTACTATTCAAATCTCAACTCAAAATCCAAACCCCCAAACAAACACACCCTTAGACTAAAATGATGGAGCATACCATTATGAATGTCGTCGTTTATTTTCATGTTATCATTATATTCAATTTCTATTGTCGTTTTTTAGTAAATGATGTACTTCATATATAGATACATCGTATGAATCGTGTGTAAATAATGAAATATGTTACATGCAGTTGTGTGAGTTTTCATTATGTTTTATATTTTGTAGAATGTTTGTTTATAACAATATATGATCCGTACTTTAGATAGATATTCTAATTGACTTAGGCTAAAATTATGAAACTTGCCGTTATTATGAGTATTTTAGTTTCTATGCTTTCTATATAGAATGTATATATCATATAGATATGATATATGAATATGAGCTAAATGATCAATTATATTAGATGTGATTTTTTCTCTTCATTATATTTGTTTTTTGTATCATATTTGTTTATAAGTTATATGAATCACACTTTAGATTTGCATTTTTCTCTCTTTGTCTCTCTCTCTCTTTTAAATGTGATTGCTTAAATTATCTTTTAAACTTAGTGTTTCTTTGTTGCCAACCGCTACTCTTAGTACACATCATAGGATGATCTCAACAAAAATTTTGATTTGTTATTAATTGTAGTTACCATCATTTGGACTTCGTTGACGGACCTATTTGAACTGAGCATGTGTGAGGGTGGCTAGAAGGATGCAGTTCATAGTTACGATCGTCAACATATTCAGTAACGGTGTATTTTTTTTTTTTAGATTTTTGGTTGAATTACAACTTCAATCTTCTTGCACAGCATGTACTTGTCTTGTATTTTTATTTTTTTTTTTTCTCTATATAGTTGTATAGGATGGAATGACAACATATTTTGATTAGTATCTTTTATTATTATGCTACTTTTTTTGTGTCGCCCTTTATTGCAGTAATGATGAATGTATTGCATATGTTGGGAATTTTTTTTACCTTTTTTTGCATCTGTTTTTGAACTACAAACCTTCAACTCTATACATACTTGTAATATAATTTGTACGTTTGTTGCGGTTTGAAAATGATGCATTTGTCAAATTACGAGCACATACGGAAGCAAATGGTAAACATTTTTATAAAATATGATATTTTTACAAAAGTCATATACTTTTCGGAAGATACCATAATATTGTCGTTTGATTGTGAACGTTGTATAGTTAAACTTTTTTTTTTCCAATAAGTTGCAATAATTATTTATTTCCATTATTGGAGTTAAAATCCTAATAAAATAAATTGATTTGATTTGATTTGAAGCCCGAATTAATATTCCATAATTTTTGTAAATTCTTCGCAAATCAATGGCAAATTAAATTGAATTATAAATAGCTAAGTCAATATTTCTTAAAATATGATATAATTTGATGCTTGCTACCTTGTATAAAAAATTATTAGTTTAGATCGTAATTTCTAAAACTACCCATTAAAGTTTCATAAGAATTTCATTTTTTAGGAATATTTATGCAATTTTTTCAAAAATAAAAAACTATAAAAACCATCACAAGAAAATAATGTCAATTTTTTTTTTCTTTTGAATATTTGTGCAGTTCTTTACTATACTAACTAGAATAATTTTGAAAATATTTTAATATACGATTTTGATAAGATGACTCACTGATATAAAAATGTTATATGTTTCTATGGAAAATGATGTCGGAAGAGTTTGAGATATGATGCAATATAAATTCATCTTAAAATTACTTTTGCAATATAAAAAAAAAAAAAAAAAATTTACCGAGTTTTGAATTTTCATGAATGTTATCTTCATCACCGGAATGTTCCTCATTCCGTTCCATAACTTTCCTTTTACTAGTGTATATATATATATTTATATATATATATATATCTTTAATCGGTGGATAATGTAAAATTTTTGGGTGTGTTTTTTCAATTTTTTTCTTTCACATATTTTTTCTAAAAGTATTAATATATTACAGACATTTATTATTTTTATATTTTGTATACAATTTCTCACATCTTATATAATAAAAAATTATTCATTCAAATTATCTCACAAAACAAACACACCCTTCTTCTTTCTTTTGGAGTAAAATGATTTAATAAAAATAAGAAGATGTAAATTCTAAATTATGTAAAGCAAATAATAAATTTACGCATATACACAATTTTATCTGTTCCTCTTTCTAATTATTCAACGGCTACGAATATTTCAGGAGAGTCTAAAATCACATAAGGATCACAAATAATTTAAATATTGAAGTATTTATAACGTGGCTAAGAGACATAAATAAAGTAATTAAATAGAATTAATAATTACTCCCTCCCTTCCCAACTATTTTGTCTCCCAGCTAATATCGAAGTTTTAAATATTGTGTAATTAATAAGTGTAATAGTGAAAAAAATTATAATTTAATAATAATTATTATAAATTCAAATTAAAATAATTAAATAATTTAATTAAAATTAAAAAAAATAAAAATTATAAATTTTAAAACGTAATTAAAATATATAATTATATTTATTTAATTTAAAAAAAAATGAAATTTAAAAAACAAACGAAAACCGTTAAGTCTGGAAAAAGCCACCAACCTCCCTTAGCCCTCACTCCACTCACCGCCCACCTTCACCTTCTCCGACAGCCGCCTTCCAACCAATTCTCCGCCGTTTCTTTTTTACCATTCCTTCCGATCTCAATCAAGATTCTCCTTCGGGTTCCGACATGGCCTCCCATTTCCCGCCAACTTCCAAATCAGAATCGCCGCCGCCGCCGCCGCCGCCGACGCCGATCCAATCCAAAGAAGACGACGATCTCCCCGCCGAACCCACCACAGCACTTCTCTCCTTCAGCACAGATTCTTCTTCCCCGCCGCCGCCAAAACCGGCGCCGGCCTCCACTCTCATCCTCTCTCTTATCATTTCCACCTGCCTCGCCGCCGCCGCCGTTACCTTCGCCGTCTTGTTCTTCCACAACAATGGCGATTCCAGCGGCGGACACGTGTCCCGACCACTCGCGAAGCTCCGATCCCCCGTCGTCCTTCTGATCTCCACCGACGGATTCCGATTCGGCTATCAATTCAAAACCGACACGCCCAACATCCACCGATTAATCCGAAACGGAATCGAAGCCGAATTAGGTCTAATTCCCGTTTTTCCGACACTCACTTTCCCAAATCACTACTCGATCGTCACCGGACTCTACCCAGCCTACCACGGCATCGTCAACAACTATTTCACCGATCCCACCGCCGGCGCAGGCGGCTTCTTCCACATGGCGAGCCACGAGCCGGAGTGGTGGCTAGGCGAGCCGCTGTGGGAGACGGCGGCGCGCGGCGGCCTGAAAGCCGCCGTCAATTTCTGGCCGGGCTCCGAGGTTAAAAAGGGGGTGTGGAATTGTCCTAAAGACTACTGTTTGATCTACAACGCTTCGATGCCTTACGAAGAAAGAGTCGACAAAGTTTTAAACTATTTCGATTTGCCTCCAAACAAGGTCCCTTCATTCATCACATTGTATTTCGACGATCCCGACACACCCGGCCACAAGGTCGGCCCAGACGATCCGCGGATCACGGCGGCTATTTCCCGAGTCGACGCAATGATCGGGAGGTTGATCCGAGGTTTGGAAGACCGCGGCGTGTTCGAGGACGTGAGCATCGTTTTGCTCGGCGATCACGGAATGGTTTCGACTTGCGATCGTAAATTGATTTTTTTGAGCGATTTATCCGATTGGATCGATATCCCGAAGGATTGGGTGCAATCGTATAGTCCTCTGCTTGCAATTCGTCCCCCGCCCGATATCCTTGCAAAGGACATCGTGGTCAAAATGAACAAAGGGTTAAAGTCAGTGACCAACGGGCAATATTTAAAAATTTATTTAAAAGAGGATTTGCCGCCGCGGCTACATTATGTCCATAGTGATCGAATCGCACCGATCATTGGGTTACTCGACGAAGGGTTTAAAGTCGAGCAAACGAGATCGAATAGGCAAGAGTGCGGAGGAGCGCATGGATACGACAACTCGTTTTTCTCGATGAGGTCGATTTTTGTTGCTCATGGACCTCGGTTTGGCCGGGGTTTGAAAGTTCCTTCTTTTGAAAATGTCGAGATATACAATTTGGTCACGGCTATCTTGAACATAACCGGAGCTCCGAATAACGGGACGTCGACATTTCCCGATAGTGTTCTTTTGCCGGAGCATTGACGAGACGTGTTGCTCGTGATATACGGTATACCGAAAATCAGAACGCTTATTATAAAGTTTTGTAGGTGAGGAGTTAGAAGATGATAAATTGTTTGGGATCGCCGAATGTGAAATGATATGTACTTTTTAGAAGATGAATTTGTTAAGTCGATGCATGTAAAATATATGTATATATTGTTACATTTTTTGAATTTTCTATAATTTATTTTATTTACCCATTTATTTTATTTGACAACTATGGTGCGTTTGTTTGATGGTTTTGGATTCTGGTTTGATACTTGATACTAAAAAAATTTAAATTTGAATAGTTGTACGATGTACTATAAATTTCATGTCATATTTTAAATGTAAATTTGATTTTTAATATATTATAAAAAAAAATAAAAAATAAATATTTGATTTTATATTTTTAGAATAAAAATATGATTAATAGTAGAGATTTTGTGAAGTTTGATATAAGAAGACACTTCATGACGAGTGTTTGTTTAGTATTTTTATTGAACTTTTTGGAATATGAAATATGGAGAATTATTTCGATAATATAAAAAATTTAATATTTTAATGTTGACTTTTGTGAATTGATAAAAAAATATATATATTTGAAACTTTAAAATTGTTTTAAAAAAAATTGTGGGCAAATAAATCAGATATTTTTTTTTTACATTTTTTTTTATCTTATTTAAAAATATGTATTTTTCCTCCATTCCCGGATGAATATCATTTGGGAATTTATACTATATTAAAAAATAGTATAGATGTAAGAAGTTTTAATATTTTTGCAATTAAAGTAATTGTATAGTATATTTATAATTTAAGTAAAAGTTAGAATATATTGCTATTAGCGTGTAATTATATTAGCGTGTAATTATATTTACTAAAATAGAAAATTGAATATTTTTAAGTAGAATAGACAAAAATAGTAAAGGAATATTTTTAATTTGAAACAGAAAAAATATAATTTTATCACTTTAATTTACAGTGCTAAAATAAAATAAATGGGTGATAGTAGATAGGTGGGTAAATGAATCAAATAATTTTGTTCAATTCGACATTTGATTTGAAATTTTGATATTCGTATTCGAAATTTTATGATTCAAATTAGAATAAAAATATTCGATTGAAATATGATTCAAATACAAATATGAAATTTTAATATTCGATTCATTATTCTTAAATATTCTATAATAAAATATATAGATAGTATAAAGTATAATATACATATATATAATACAAATTTATTAAAACAAATAATACTTTTAAATTTTACATAAATAAATATAATATAATTAAAACTGACATTTTTATTTAATTTATGTTAAAGAAAAAAGTTTATTTTTGTCCATGTTGGAAAATAATAAATATGTATATATTTTATCAAAGTTTTTTTAATATTATAACTAAAATTTTCAATTAGAAGAAATTGGAATTGAATAGCTTTGAATCGGATAAACAAAAAATGGGAATCACATTTTGAATCAAATATTTATATAATATTGAAATCGAATCGAATAATGTGAAAACTATTTCGAATCGAATAGAGTATCATTTTAACATTCGAAACGAATCAAATAGTCGAATATCTTTTTTCGAATCGAATCAAATAGTGCAATATTTGATTTGATTTAATTCGATTCATTTACCACTAGGTGATGGAATATTGCTTGTTATGTACAACGGTGGATTTAGACAGGGGCCTCAGGGGAGGTTATTGCTTGTTGTGTACAACGGTGGATTTAGACGGGGCCTCAGGGGAAGTAGCCTCCAACTAGGGATGTCAACGGGCGAGTTTTGCAAGCCCTAAAATCTATCATGCTAGAAAATATTAAGACCCAAGGCTCGTCCCACTCAACTTTAACATGGCCCTAGGACCCGTCCAGCCCCAAATCCTTCGGGTTCGGAGTCAACCCTGACAAACCTTCTTCTTTTTTTTTTAAAGAAAAAATTAAAATATAATTTTTTAAAATAATTTAATAGTAAAAAAAATATGCGTCACAGTATCAAAAAATTAGAGTTTTAAAAATAAAAACAATCAAATATTGACAATATTTCGCAGTGATCTCGATTATAAAAAGAATTGTAGAAAAAACAAATGCGAAGACAAATTTGATTTAAAATTAAAATTTTATTTTATGTTTGAAATTTTGTAAATAAATAAATAATATATTTTATATTGTATAAAAATATAAATAAATTATAATAATTATTAAAATATCCGAATTCGGATCCGAGTCCGGTCAAGTTTTTAATAAAACCCGTAACCCGCTCCATTAAGACCGGTCCACGGATCCGGGATTAACCAGCCCAATTTGACATTCCTACATCCAACCTGTACTTTTTATTTTTTATTTTCAATGTTAAAAATTGAATTTTTATATGATTATGCTAATTTATCTTTCTAATTTTAAAATTTATTATCATTTTTCTTTTCTTTTTCATGTTATTGTATCAAAAAAGACATAATCACACCAGTAGAAATAGACAGACATTCTATCCTTTCCCAAAGATTAGTACAAATAGTCACATCACACTTAAAAGGAAAAAGACCCTTTATGAAATTTGATTGCATAATTTATTATTATGTGTTAGTAAAGAAAATACACACAAAAGTCCATTTCTACCACTATTTTAGGGGTGTCAAAAATGAGTAAGGTCATAAATATCAGTCAATTATTTCATGCATTTATACTAAAATACAAACATCATAGGCAGAATCTACTCTTGTCTAAAATAAACATCAAAAAAAAAAAAAAAACCTTGCATGCTCGGCTGAAACAATGGCCAGCTGTGTAAATACACTTTCAAAACCCTACACAAAAACCAGTTCTGCAACATTTTCCAACGACCGAGAATGAAGTCGAAGAATAAATCAAGCAAAAAGAAAGCTAGCTAGCTTACTTAAGGAATTATAACTACTAAATGGCAAATAAACAAGCAACAGCATAGTCAATCTCACATAATGATATAATCCTATCGACATTGTTGGATCAGTAAAAATTAAAGAGGCCGGTAAGAATGTATTACATTTACATGTTCTCTCACCGTCTACTTAGCTGGAATCTTCCGGCAGTCCATCCCCGCCATGCCTAAAATAAAATCGACAAGCCAATGGTCAAAATCATTGCAGTTAATCTAGGATAGGTACGGAAATTAATACATCAGACATAGATCTAAAGCACTTAGGCGCTCCTTTCGAAGTAACAGAAAGAAAAGCTACAATCGGAATGGGAGGGGAGTCCGAAAAGACAAATCCTCAGCTTCTTTCTTGAATGGGGCTCCGACTATTCATAATTTTTCAACATCCAAGGGTGTGTTTGTTTTTATTTCAAATGAAAAACGCTAGAGTACTATTTAACCCGCACAGTTCTCAATAAAAATATACTATTTCATCTTACAAAATATTATATCAAAATACTATTTTAAACAAAATTTCAAATCAACACTTCATTTCAAATCCATTTCAAACCACAACTAAAAAAATCCCAATTGTTTCAAAGGAAGAACACACACATATATATATATATAATGATGTAATGGGAAGATATGAAAATTCTCCTCTTGTAATTATTTTTTTCAATCCTGGGAGTATTTTCTCGTATCCTCCCGAGCACAAATACATTCTACACAAAATATATGATTTTTTTTCATTCTTCGAAAAGAAAATCCCGTTCCGTGTAGCTAGTTATACATATATGTATATTCCAAATTCAACTATCATTCTTCTATTAATATTAAATATGTTACTTTATATACACACAAATATTCAAATATATACATAACAATCACATTATTCAATAAATTAAAATGCTATAGCATATGTAGTAGATAAAATCATAGATCTGTACACAGAAAAAAGAACAAACAATACTCAGAAAAACCTAGCTCTATAGATTGAAATTCGACCGCTACTTCTCCCACAAATCCGGCTAATGCAAATAATCTTGCATAATAACTAGTAAGTAATAAGGCACTTTCTTGATAACAAATTATGCATATTAAGAAATAGATGTGATTTTTTGTTACGGAAAATTAAGTGAAATTCATTATAAGCGCAATATTTATCTCCTTTCCAGATTATATACTAACTACATGTGGAAGACCAGGCAGTCTTGTTAACATCCTGAAAGTGCAAGTTTTCATTACAGCGCAGATACATATAGCTCAAAATTTTTGCATCAAGGATGATGTCAAGTATAGGTCCCATACTATGTATTGGTTGATATGCAGAATTTAAGGACTTGTGAAGAATATAGCAAAATTGAAAAAGTTGCTCCCCTTTGTCAAAGTAGCCAGATATTTAAAAAGATTATATATATATGTACGTATATATAGAGAGAGAAAGAAAGTAATATCAAGACTCATAAACAAACCTCCAGGAAGTGGTTAGGTTACGAGCTTTCCTATCCAACTGCAAATTTTCCAATGCAGTTGTAGCACGGAGCACATCTTCTGGAAGCTCATCATTATCGTATCTCCAATTGTATTCCTCTCTCCTATAGCCAGAGGCCGAGGACCCAACTCGACGATCTGAAGATTCAACAATAAAAGAAGTACAAAAAGCCTTTTTTTTAAACTATATTTTTTTCGTAAACATCTTGAGAGTTATTTCACCACTTACCAGATAAGATTGGAATAGGCCTGCAATAAGCATAACATGAACTACAAGTTCAAAACTGAAATTCGAAAGTTCAAAGAAATAATAATGGAACACAACTAAAGAAATGTACCTTCCTAATGGAGGCAAGCCTCCAGCAACAGATGGCGGTGCCCTCCTGGCGTTTCGAGCATCCAAGTTAGACAAAGATTCAGCATCGGCAGTAGTATATCGCCTATTACTGCCCCTTCCTTGAGAAAGATTCTGCAAGAACATGATATTGAATATTTCAACATAACTAATTATTTTGCAAATAATAGAACTGAAAACTAAAATAGAAGACGGATAAGATAACATCAAATAATTGAGCATCTGGTGGAGACACATCCCGTCATAAAATAATTTCACGGATAATATTGATATCTCATTTATAAATTAAGCATGTTTTCCGGGTTACAGAAGATACACACTTAGGGGAATGACTAGAACTAAAAACATAATAGTTTATTTATAAACACCAGAGTATATTTTTAATGCCGAAAATTCTTAAAGGGTGTGTTTGTTTGGAGGCTTGGATTTTGAGTTGGGATTTAAATAGTAAAAATTTTGAATTTGAATAGTTGTATGATGTGATATAAATAGGTGTTGATGTGATGTTTGAATATAAAATTGATTTTTAGTATAATATAAAAAATGAAAATTAGGTGTTTGATTTGATGTTTTTGGGGAAAAAAATGAGATGAATAGTGTAAATCCAATCCAATCCCCCAAACAAACACACCCAAAACAGTTTTAAAAAGCTTCATTTTGTTCATATTTTCAAGTTTACTTTCACACACGCAACGGTACAAACTAAAAAAATCTAACATTCAAATAAAATCATCTCACCTCATATTTCAAGAACCCCTCAAGAACATCCAGGAGCAAAGGACCACTGTCTCCATTCTGATTAAGATCATACCCATTCTTGCTGCTAAATTCTTTCAACTCAGATTTCCAGGAATCCTTATGCTAAATTTGAAAGAACAATTAAAACCATAAAAAAAAAAAACATAGACTGAAAATGTATATTACAAAAACAAAACCATGATTAAAGAGAGAGAATAAGAAATGCTAGGAAATACCAAATTACACTCTGGTAAGTAAACTTTCAACGTGTGATTCAGCTGAGCCCAATCCAGATATTCGCACACCAATGCAGTCAGAAGTCTTCCTTCAAGCACAAAATTCGAGCAAAATAAATTAACTTGATAAAATTCACCAAGTTTAAAATTCTTCGAAGCTCCCGAATGCACTCAATTAAGTAGCAACATCTAAGGGGTTTTTTTGTTGTACTTTCAATACCAAATCACCATTATTCACCCCGTACGGTTCCCAATAAAAATACTCTATTTTCTTTCAAAATATCATATCAAAAATACTATTTAAGCAAAAACTCAAATCAACACCCCAATTCAAATCAACTTCAAACCACAACCAAACAAATATGCAGTTTAAAAAACAAAATATACACACAGACGATGGACATATAAACTCTATTCTTATTTGGCCTGCATTGTATTCTATCATCAGCAATTGAGGAATTTTCTTCCAGATTTCGAAGCAAGAAGACATATTTCATTATTATTTGTTAATTATCTGAAATGTCGTAAAAAAGCCAACGAAAAGGAATGGAAGAAACATAACAAGGTAAGCAAGAATCAAATCAACAATATGCACTAGGATTTGCATATTAACAAAGCAAACAACAAAGCCAAAATGAAAATTACCTGAAGAAGAGTTGTGAAGCTGCTTCGCACGATCATTGCAGCAACCCAAAAGCGCAGGAGGCAGTCCTTCATCTTTCTCAATCGCTCTATCCTCCTCTTCTATTGCTTCGAACACACTAGCCCTCAGTTCAGCCTATTCACCACGAAAATCAGAACATTTATAATCTTCAATGATGCATTTTTTCACATTAACTTTAGCAAAAATTAGAATACGCATAAATTTTCAAACACTCTAGCCCTCATTCAACCTATTAACCATGAAAATTAGAACATTCATAATCTCCAATTAAGCATTTTCTCGCATTAACTCTTGCAAAACTAGAATTTGCATAATTTTTCAAACACACTAGCCCTCTGTTCAGCATATTAACCATGAAAATTAGAACATCCATAATCTCCAATGAAGCATTTTTTTCATATTAACTTTTGCAAAAATTAGAATATGCACAAGTGTTCGAACACACTAGCCCTCAGTTCAGTATATTAACCATGAAAATTGAAACAACCACAATCTTCAATGATGCACTTTTTCCACATTAACTTCTGCAAAATTAGAATACGCATAGTTTTTTGACATTCAAGTTGTTTTAATCCTTCAAGCAGTTTTTGGCACCAATTGGCATATTTTCTGCAACATCTATAGGCAGAAAAAAACAAATGAATAATAAGGAACGGAGAATTTGAGTGTGAATTCATTCATTCGGTTTTCCAATCGGAGCAATCCTACAGAAAATGCCTGAGAAACAAATCATGTAAACCAGATTTACAACATTAAGATCATAGGTGAAACAATTCTCTGTCAAATTCCCAATTAATTCTGCCAATTCATCAAATCATTCACTCGAAGCTACCCAATCTCCTAGGGTTTTATCAGCTACAATTCAAAATCCCCAAATTCCATAAACAGTGATGAAAGCTCACGAACCATATCAGTAAGTTTATTATACAAACAGAAATCATGGAAAATTAAAAAAGGAAGCCGAGATTAGATGTAACTAACACGAATCTTGGCAAGCACGCCTTTCTTTTCGAGAGTGCGAGTGACAAGGGTTTTCAAATCCATCATTTCTCTCGTGTAATCGTCCATCTTCGCCTGCAATTACAGCCCTTCCTAACGCAATTCAAGGGCCCTCGTTAAACCAGAACGTAAATTTCCTTCAGGTTAAATATTCGAGTTTCAATCAGGAAGGAGGAAAGGAGAAGGAAAGAAAGAAAAAAAAATGGGAGAAGAAGAAGAAGAAGAACGTGATATGGCTGCGGCGGCGGCGACTGTGGGCGGGCGGCCACTGTGACGAAGAAGGGGGAGGAAAGAAGAAGGAAGAAAATGAAAAAATTGGAGAAGAAAAAAGATGGGGAAGAATGGTTCGCGGCTGTGGCTGAGTGGGCGTATTTAGCCATAGTATTTTATAATAATAATATATTTATAATTAAATATATTAATTACATACTCCCTTCCATCCATATAATATGGTGTATTACTGTAAAAACTAAAAAACTTAGATAAAGTATAATTAATAAATAATTAAGAAATTTATTAGTAAAAATAATTATAAATTAAAATTAAAATAAGTAAATAATTTAATTAAAATTAAGAAAATTATAAAATTTAAAATTTAAAATGCGATTAGAATGCATAATTATATTTTCAAAAAATAGAAAGGACAAATTACGTAGAACGGACTAAAATAGAAAATATGAACAATTATGTGGAAAGGATGGAGTAATAAATAAATATATATATTAAATAAAATTAAAATTAATTGTTTTTAATAAAATTTAATTTAAAAAATAAAATAAAATAAAATATTACTACAAATTTAATATACATAAATCCCCGATACAAATAGTAATCGGCTTAAAATCATCAAATTTTAATTACAAATATTTAGGGTATGTTTCTTTAAGCCACTTTTCCAAATTTTATGTTTGGACTCTACATTTTTTAAAAAAAATATATTTTTTTATTTTATATAATATTCCATCAAACATTATTTTTATATCAAATTCAAACCAATTTTTTTTCCCAAAATCATCAAAAGAAAGTCTACCTCTCATGTTCTTTCTATTTGTACTATATATTTTTTTTAATGTTCCATTTAGATATAGATTTTGAAGTTTTGAAGAAAATTATAAATTAAAAAATTAAGTATTTAATATAATATTTTATAAAACAATATACTCTCCGTCCCATAATAAACTATCTAATTTTTTATTTTAGTCTGTCTCACGGTAAAGTATTCATTTTTATTTTTAGTAATTTTACTATCTACGTAACATTACAAATACCCTTATAACTTACAATATATTACACAAATATCATTACTTTTATATCACACAATACTAATAAGATTATTTTAATCATTTCTACTTTATTCATGTTACATCCCAATATAATACTAATATTTCTAAAACCCATACAAAAAATAAATGAACACATACTTACGGGACGAATGAAAAATATAATGCGATATTCTATCGTTCACTTTAAACTTTAAGTAATTTTATTTTCATATATCAAATTTAAATACAATTATCAATAACATCACAAATTAAAATATACTACTTCATCCGTCCCGGATATAGTGTCACAGTTATGGTAGACCGGGGATTTAGAAGAAGTGTGATCAATAAATAATTATAATTAATAAAAATAATTATAAATTATTGTTAAAATAAATCATTAGTATAATTAAATGTTTAAAAATTATAAATTTTTAAATATAATTAAAGTGTAATAGTTTTTCAAAAAAAGTAATTTTTGTATATATATATAAAAATATGACATTATATGCAAACGGAGAGAGTATATTTATTTTTTACATGTATATATACAATCATCTTATTAGAACATATGTTACAGTTATTATATTTACTTCATTTTTTTTTATCCATTTCACAGTATTTTTTTTTAAAAAAAAAAATTATAATTATACATTTTTATAGTATTTTAAAATTCATAATTTAAAAAAAAAATTATTTAATTTAACTATTTAGTTATTTTAATTTTAATTATTTTTATCAATACATTTTAAAAGTATTTACTAATTATATTTTATCTAAATTTTTGTATTTACACTAAGGTGGACAATTTATCCAAAACTAATGAAGTATTAATTTGTTTAATTCTTTTTATGAGTAAATGAAATAATAATAATAACATTTTTTACACATTTTAAATTAAAAATAATTACAAAATATTACTAATACTCTATCGAGTAAATTGCAAAAAATATCCGATACTTATACCCTATTATCACTTTTGTCATGTATTTATCTGGCAAAGTATATCTCACATGTTTACAAAAGTCGTTATTTATGTCATTTTCTCGCGCGTGAAATTCACACCACGCGCCCTTATGCGCAATCACGCGCGATCAAACGATAGAAATAACGACTTTTGAAAACATGTGTGATATATTTTGCCAGAGAAATAAATACATGACAAAAGTAATAATAAGATATACGTGTGGTATATTTTTTTGCAATGTTTCCAATACTCTAATAAAAATAACTTCCTTTTGTTTAGAATACATTTATTTAGATAGTGTATATTAATAAATTATTTATAATAAATTATGATATTATTTATTATTTTTTATAAGTGAATATTTAAAAATATAAATTAATATATATGATTAAAAAAAATTAGAATATATATTTAAATATTTTTAGTATATAATAGGAATAAAGGTGTAGTTTAGTGGACGAAAGCCTTCAACCCTTTCTATGAGGTTTGATTTTTTTCCTGCCTAATCATTTTATAAGAAATTTTCAGTGGATAATATGGATAAAAAATTTAAATATTTAATTAAATTAATTTATATTTTTTAAATATATTTAAAATTAATAAAATAAAATAACTATATATACTATGGGGTGAAAAAAAAAAAAAGAGTATAATTGCAGATGAAGTACTATTTATTTACTCAAATTTGTCTGTAAAAATTGTTTAGAGATTACTGTTACTATTAATGTGTATAATTATATTTTTAAAATAAAAAATGCCAAATTTTTGTAGGATGGACTGATCGAAATAGAAAAAGTAAATAAATTATATGAAACAGAGGGAATATTAAAAATAAATATAAATTAAAATTTAGATAACTAATTAATTTAATCAAAATTAAAATAATACTTTCTCCGTTTCAATACAATAGTCTTGTTTACTATTTTTATCTGTCTCAAAACAATAGTTTCGTTTTTATAAATAATCATATGACTATAAAACTAAAACTATCCTTACTTTTTCATTATTATTACACAATTACGACTATTTTTTTACTCGTACTTTTTACCCATTATTTATATAATATGTATCAAACCCAACCGAGACTATAATTCTGAGCCGAAGGGAGTATAAATTATAAAATTTAAAATTTGATTAAAATATATAATTATATTTTTTTAAAAAAAATATATATAAGACGATGGAAAGTATGAATAATTTATGTGAAATAAAAGAAGTATTTTATTTTAAATTTGAAGTAAAAGCATTATAAAGTTGTCAACCAATTCCATTTGCAGCAGGAATCAAAATCAATCTATCAATAATTCATCCCTGTAATAAATTGTGCTCAAAAGCTTCTCAAGTCGCACTCTCCATCACACAATAATATCTTCATCCCCACACTCACTCACCATCTCTGCTCTGCTAAATCCCCGATAATAATCGATTCCCTCTTCACCTCAGTTGCAGTTGATGTTTCCATTTCCCCACGTTTTGAGTAATTCCGATTGCCCAGCGCTCACAACCACTGCAAGTGGTTGGCCGGAATTCTTTTCCCTCCTCTGAAATGGCTGATGCGATTAAATTATCCAACAGTTCTCAGAGATCTCCCTATTCAATTTCCAGTTTTGTCTCTTCGTCTTTGAGCTCTTGCCGCAGCGCTCGTTCCCCCAATCGAACCGGACTTCGTGGAAAAGTGCTTTCTGTTTCGAGCCTTTCTTCTGCCGCCGGCGGTATTGTTTCTCCGATTCCGTCGCGGTGTCGCAAGCAATTGGGGCCATCAAAGGTAATTATGCTGGAAATTCCTGAAATTCGGTGACCTAATTAATTTAATTTCGTGCTAAATGTTCCATTTGTGTCGGGGTGGAAATTTTAGGGTTTGCTCGGAATTAGGGATTCCACTGCTGCTGGCCTTGACAGTAATTGATTTCTTAAGCAATTGAGATCTTTGTCTTAGTTCTCGATCCATGTTGTCTCATTTACATAGAGTTTATTGATGTATCTGTTGTAAATTGCTCGATTATATGGTAACTAGGGAGTGTGATATTTTAGACTGTGGTATTGAAAGCACGCCATTAACCATTTAGCTCGATAATCACACGGAGTAAGAGTTAGACCTCGATCGATTCTGTGTTATGTTGTGAACCCCTAAGTTGAAACCTGTGCGAATACTGTTCATCAAAGCCTTTCTGTTGCCGATCGAAGTCACCGGGGAGATTAAGGAGTGTGAGAAAAATTTTGGTCTTGTCCGTACAGTCTTTTGGGCTGGAGATTGCTGGGTTTTTGCCTTTTTAGAGCCTGTAAATACTTGTTGTATTCTCTCTCGGATTAAGACTGAAAATGCTAATGAAAATATCTGATTTGATCGCTCTAAATGAAGGTTCGCCAAACTGTTACCAAATTAGACTCTTTCGTGTGTGCGTTTTATCTTGATTTCCTCAATTTCGTTAGATTCCAACTATCGCAAGATGGATGGCTAGATCAAATGATAATGTACAGGTATGAAAAAGCATGGGATTAATTTGCTATCTAGATTACGTTCTTGGTAGAGCATGTATTGGGACTGTTATGTTTCGCCGCAGTGTTCGTATAATCGCGTTAGTATGGGAATGTAATGATGAAGTATTGGTAATCAGAGTGCAGCTAGGTGAGGTATCGCTCTTTTCTGTTGTTTACATGCAAATTGTGTTTGCGGTCATATGTTCTAGTGGCGCGACATTGAGATGTTCTATCGATTAAGTTCTTAATCCGGGAAATGTAGTATTTTGCTTTCGAATATGTAAGTATTTGATGTTTACTCTTGATATGGTACATTTACCAGATACAAGCAACTGTTACTGAAACCGAGCAGCCGAAGTGGTGGGAGAAAAATGCCGGCCCAAACATGATTGATATTCACTCGACGCAGGAGTTTTTAAATGCCTTGAGCGAAGCCGGGGATCGTCTAGTCATCGTCGAGTTCTATGGAACGTGGTGCGCATCTTGCCGAGCACTCTTTCCCAAGGTAACATGATTATCTACAACAACATAACGCTATATTACCGATTCTTGAATAAATTTGCTCTACAATTCATTCGTCTATTTTTTTTGCTATCAGCTTTGCAGGACGGCTGTCGAACATCCCGACATCCTGTTCTTGAAAGTCAATTTCGACGAAAACAAGCCCATGTGCAAGAATTTGAACGTCAAGGTTCTTCCGTATTTCCATTTTTACCGCGGTGCGGATGGCCGGCTCGAGGCCTTTTCTTGCTCCCTCGCCAAGGTAAGCTAACTTGCTCGATCGCCTCTGCATCCACATATATATTTTGGTTTTAAAATGTTGACTTACTTCTGTCGATCCCTCGGCAGTTCCAGAAAATTAAAGACGCCATCGAGCTACACAACACTGCTCGCTGCAGCATCGGCCCTCCGGCCGGCGTTGGCGAACTTAACCTCGAAAGCCCCTCCCCTCCAAAGGAGAAACTTCCGGAATCATCCGGAACATAGCCGCCGTCGATCGCCATGCTGCCTTCTTGGTCGACCCTCCGGCTGTTTATCCGGTCACCGGAATGGGTAACAGAGTTCGTTATTTGTATCTATATGAATAAAACTGTATCGACTGAGTCGGGTAGGGTACAGAGCTTATTTGGTAAAAATATCGATTAAATTAAAAAAGAAAAACGGTAAATCCTTGATTGTAGGGTAAAAGTTAGAAACGAAGGGTTAAAAAGAGTGAAAAAAAAAAATTAACCAAAAGATAGAAACTTTCAACCAATGAGCACGACGTACGGCACGATCCCCACCGGCAGATCGGGGGCGCCGCCGCCGTCCGATCTGCCGTCGTCGCGATCGGTGATGCTAGCGCGGCGGCCATGGCGGGAGATGGTGACATCTCTGTCGCTGCCGCGGAGCGTCGGCGCGGCGGCGGAGCGCAGCCGCGCCAATGCCGCCTATTTCCACGTGAATTACTCGATCATCGTCCTCTTCGCGCTCTTCGTGAGCCTTCTGTGGCACCCGGTCTCGCTCGTCGTGTTCCTCGCCACCATGGCCGCCTGGCTCTTCCTCTACTTCCTCCGCGACGATCAGATCGTGCTCTGTGGCTATGCCGTCGAGGAGCGCGTCGTCCTCGTCGTGCTGTCGATCTTCACCGTCTGCTTGTTGCTCATGACACATGCGGCTGTGTTTCTCGTCGGCGCGGCCGTCGGCCTCCTTCTGGTGGCGGCGCACGCCGTCGTTAGGAACACCGGCGATTCGGATCTTCAGGACATGGCGCCGTTTGTGTAGAAACGGATCTGGAGATACATCAGATTCGTTGGTTTTTTTTTTTTTTTTTCAATATCATGATTCTTGTGATTGGATTTAATTGATTAAGAAGATTTGATGGGAAGATTAATTTTAATGATTTGTTCTTCGTTTTATCGTGCCATTGAATCTTGCATGCCATGAATTGTTTCTGTTGTCTTTTGGAAACACGTCACAGATTATATCAAAAATTATTTTAAAACATTCATTTTCATCTCAATTTTTGATCTTTAAAACCCAATGATTTGTTCTTTCGATGTATGTTTCAGTTTTTTATATCGCGATAATACGTAAAAATATATTTCTTTTATAGTAAAATATTATATTCAATATCCTAATTATAAAACATTTGCATATATATATATATAGAGGCGTTTCTCTGTGTTCTTCTAGAGAGGAAAAAAGAATGATGAATCTCTATGATATTTTGTGATAATGTGTGTGAGCAGAATCCTATTCTGTTGCTTGCTCTTCGATCTTCATGATTAAGTTTTTTGCTCCTCCGATCTATCTTGTCCCTTCTCTTGGTTTTGTCCCATCGTTCCTGTTCGGTTATGTTGTACCATGATCAACCTTGGGGTGTTGATTATCAATGGACGATTTAGAGTTTGGTGAAGGGGGTGGCTGTGATACGAGTCTACATGATTGTTTTATTATTTTTTTATTATTTGAATTCTTTACGTTATGATTCTACTTTATTTTCTTAAATTGTTGTCCGCTGACAAGAGCTTTGGCTACAAAATAAAATATTAATTCTTAGACCACAGAAAATACAAAATTCAATATAGCTATGGTGAGTAAGATCGTCTCCGCAAGGGAAGCAATAAAGATTTGACAACTTAGTAATTTAAAATTAAATATATATATATATATATATAAGGGGGCTTTGAAATTTGATTTACTACACTAGATAAAGGAGGACAATAATTCAATTTAGAAAGAAAATAAACTAAAAGCTAAAATATAGCCAAATATCAAAATTAACTAAACTCTAGCCTAGGCACAAATTTCCGTTTGGGATTGTTCATTGACCATAATCAAGTTTATTGATTTATTGGATAAATTGGTGATAGTTGATATTCTATTTCCCTAATCGAGTGAGAATCTTAGGTACGACCGTAGCATTGCTAACTCAACAACATTGAGAACTAGTAAGACCCGATTCAATTTAACCAAATTCCTACGAGAATTTGTTCGAAATTGATTTTAATTCCTCTATAGAGTATTCTTCTTATAGGTTGTTATTTCAATTGAAATATTACACACGGGTGGTAATCCCCAATATAACTATGAAATTTTAAACTAATACCTGACCACAAATATCAATTTAAGATCTCTAATCTCACCAAGTAGATAAATTAAAAATACTCAATACCAATAAACATCAAATTAAAATCAAAACTAAGTCTGATAAATTCATATCCCAAACATCAAATCATACCTAAGTTACAAAATAAATTATTCACAATTCATAGAAATCAAAAAACGCAAATATAACAAAAATTTAATAATGCTTTCAATCTTTGAAATCGACAACAAACCAATTCTAAGAATGAAAAAGAATCCCCTCAAAGTTTGTCTACCCTGCTCCCGGGAATTCTCTGTACTGCGTTCTTTCTTGCGTCTCTTCTCCCTCAAAGGGTTGATGTCGTGGTGAAGAACGTGAGTCTCTTTCTCTTCCTCTCTTCAATTTCAAAATCGTGTCTCTTATTTCTCCATCTCATGATCTCTTTTTAATTAGATTCTCTTTGCAATTAAATCGTCACATAAATCGTCACATAATTTTTATATTGTCAATTTACCCCATAAAGTTTTTTTTTTTTAAATTCTCATATTTTCCACATTGTGTACTTGCATGATTATGTTTAAAGCCTTTATGCGTTCTGCTTACTTTTTTTCAAATACGCCTCAAAACTTGCCAACTCCATAAAACCTATTACACAATGAAAAACATACCATAAGGAGTATATATACAAAATTCCGCATTAAAAAGCTGCCCAAAATATAACAAAATATTATTATATATAACACATATCAAGCTTTTTGTGTTTGCAGACCCGATAATTCGAACGATCCAAAAACTTGATAATGGTATCAGAGTTAGGTTGGAATCGGATGTGGGTTTGACATGCTAGAATCAAAATTTGGGATATTTGCCATAGATTTGGTAGCAGAATACTATCCCTAACTCTTTGTGATTTTTTTGTGATTTAAATGTGTAATAATTTTTTATTTAAAATTTGGTGGTTAAATCTTAATATTAACTTTTTTTTTTTTTTTTCATTATTCTATTTGAACTATGTGACACTAGTATCACGTAACTAGTTGTTCTAAGAGCAAAAAAAAACATCTCCCAAAATAAGTAAGTAGTTACCCACTGATAGTCATTTTGTGTGACTGTGTAAAATATTTGTCAATATGTTATATTTTTCTTTTTTTAATATTTGATCATTCGATAGAAAAAGTAAATTTCAATTTGGCAACAAAAAATGAAAGAACTTTTAGTAACTCAAAAGATTTCCAAAGAATTGATAGTATTTATAAACCCATTAATAACTTATAGAAGAAAGATTGAAATAGATGAATGTGTTTATTCTCTAATTATCTGATTCTATGACAAGAGAGTTGTGAGAAAGATCAGAAGTGGTGTATATGGACAAATATTTACCAAACAAACTATTTATATGTGAAAAATATTTTCGACTTAAACTTGATTTGAATCGAAACATTGATGAAAATTTGAATGTTTTCACAAAATTAATTCAAGATATAAAACATATATATGAGATACGAATATTGATATTGTGCTATTAAATGCAATTCATGAATATTTTTTTATGTTAAATCTGTTATTAAGTAGAATAGAGACAATGTAACTCTTGAAACAACAATAAATGGATTAAAGAGTAAAAAAAAAATTGATTTACAAGAAAATAAAAACAATAAATATACTAATGATGAATTTATATTTGCTAGGGGTTGATCACATATCAAGACAAGGCATTAAAAATCAAAAGAGTCCTAAGAGCAAGGACAAAGTGAAGTCCAGATGGGGTCTATTAAATTAAGATTTTGTAATATTATATTTGATATTTAAAATTTGGGTGTATTCAATTTAAACTTTTTAAAAGTCTTTAAAATATGAAGGTATTCAAAGTTTTTTAAATTTTGGTTGTATTCAACAATCATAAACTTTAAAAGTGTGAGTTTTATTGAATTTTAATGAAACAATTGTGTATAATTGTACAATATAAAATATCTCATGATAAACGGAGATTTTGATGAATTATTAAAATATATTATTATTATTATTATTATTATTATTATTATAAATGATAACTATTATGATAATAATTATTAATATTATCATAATGTCTTGATAAAATAATATTTCCTCCGTCCCCGGCTAATTTGACTAATTTATATTAGGCACGAAGTTTTAGGTATTGTGTAATTAGTGAGTAATTAAAAAATATATTAGTAAAAATAATTATGATTTAACAAAAATAATTTTAGATTAAGATGACTAAATAGTTTAATTAAAATAAAAAAAATATAAATTATAAATTATAAATTTTAAATGTGATTAAAATGTATAATTCAAAAAAAAAAAATTATGTGAATAAACAAAAATAAAAATAATAAACAAATTAAGTGGGACATAGAGATTATTAATTTTAAAAATTAAAATATAATAGAAAATTATTACCAATTTTTTTTGAAAATATATATATTTTAAATTAATTCTTATTTTTTCTCCCATAAAATAATATCCAAATAAATTTAATTAAAAAGAATATAGAGAGGCAATGTGATATTATTTATCTCCATATTCATTTTATGCAATTGTCATTTCACATTGGTGTGTTTATTTTGAGGTTTGGATTTTGAGCCGAAATTTGAATATTAAAATTTTGAATTGAAATACTTGTATGATGTGATATAAATAAGTGTTGATGTGAAGTATTGAGTATAAAATTAATTTTTAGTATAATACTCCCTCTGTCCCGGCTAAAATGTCCCCTTTAGTTTAAGTACAGAGTTTTAGGTATTGTGAACTTAGTAAATAACTAAGAATTGTATTAGTAAAAATAATTATAATTTAATAAAAATAATTATAGATTAAGATTAAGATGACTTAAAATTAAATTTTTTTTTTATATATTATGAATTTTAAAATGTGATTAAAGTGTATAATTATAATTTAAAAAAAGTAAAGAAATAGAAATATTGGACAAATTAAGTGGGATTGAGGGAGTATAAAAAATTGAAATAGATGTTTGATTTGATATATATATATATATTTTTTTTTTGAGAGGGGAGAACTTGATGAATAGTAGAATTTTGGGAAATCTCATAAAAGACCACACCCTTTAATTTGTTAAATTAATAATACATATATACATAATAAAATTATGCTAAAATTCTAACTAAGCAGATTAATATATTGAATAATAATATAATAAAAATTATAAAATAAAAAATATTAATATATAAAAATAGTATTATGCTATAATTATTATACATTATTAATTATATACGGTGATTGAAATGAAGATGACGAGAATGAAAATAACAATAATGAATAATTTAATGTATTTTTTTAACTATATTACATTTTTTATTTAATTATTTGATTTTTTTTTATTTACAAATGTGTTTCATATAAATTTATACAAATTACATGATTCAATAAAAAAATATTTTACAATCCTATAAAATCTATATAAATTTATAAACAATTCAATCAAATCTAGAGATTTTCATTTAAATCAATATATAAATCCATCAAACTCTACATAGATTTTGTGAATTTTTTTAATTCATATAAATTTATAAATTTTTTAAAATTTAATAAAATCTAAAATGAATACACCCCTAGATCTAAGCCTATTCATAAGAATAAAAAATGTTATAATTGGAGATCTAAATAATTATGCTAAGCAATGTTCGTTAACTTTAGAAACCACCATAACAAACATGCAAATATGACTGTAGGAAATGTTTTCATAATAAAAAGAAATCATGTTGTTGTTAATGTTGTACATGCAAATGAATGACTTCTTAATTATGTATGTACTTTTCATATCTTATCTGAGAAATT